CACAGTGTGCAAATCCTGAGTTTTCTATTAATAAGTAATAATGATAAACATAGCAATTATTATTTCTTTTTCCCCCACACTTCTTAGTTTTGTATACAAGCCAGAAAAAAGTTTAGCATTGCTGTCAAATAACTGCCTTCACTGTACTGAACCTGAAATACTTTGAACTTTCCAGCTGTAAAAAAGATACTCAGAAAACTTTTGTATTTTGACAATGAGGACACAGAATATTTAAAATTAAAAAAGCAATCACTGAAATATCTATACAATATTTATGATAGTGAGAAGCATTGTGGGGGATCAGTAACTCCAAATATGCCTCAGAAAACTTAATTTTTTAGGAATGAAGATACTATTGTACAAAGTTATGGCCAAAAGTATTGTATTTTTAACCAGCAAGATTTTTGAGGGGCAGTAATTATACAACATATTTCTTTTTCCCAAAAACTATTTAGGTCTAAAAACAACAGACAACATGCATTTAAATGACATTTTAAGAACAGCAAATATGATCTTTATTTTTTAAATACTGCAAGTTTAAAAATGTATCTGACAAACCCCCTCCCCAATATACTGGTCAAGTAAGGATTTCCTGCAGCATGGTAAATAAGGAATCCAGCAACAGACTTCAGCTCAGACTATCTTTCCAGAGGAAAAACGAAACAAAACAAAGCGAACAACAGCAGGTTTGATCTGGCTGACTTTTATCTTGTATCTTAACACTACCCTCAGTATCAACTTTGCCTGAATAACTTCTCTATTTTTCCCTTCTCCTCAGCATGGTTACTGTGAAAAAGCACGAGTGAAAGTTGCAGTAAAACCCCTCTAGCTAGCTAAATAATGAGCTTCAGTGGATGATTGATTACATGAAAATGTTTCTTTTTTGATTGACACAACTCAAAATATTATGAGTAAGTAACAGCCAGGAGGAGATTCAGTGGTTCCTCCTACAAACTAAAACATATGGTTTTGCAAAATTTCTGCTACAAAAAATTGAACACGGAGAGATGATCTTTGTTGATGAATGTACACTAAGCATTAGAATTTATGGTTTATGTTAAAAAAGGGACTGTCTTTACAAAAGCATTAATGTCTAAAATACAGTAGTTAGTCACCTACGACAGGCCATTTTAATTTCCTAACTTCATGACGTATCTCCAAAATGTATTTACTTGGTTTCTTAGTTAGAGGTAGGTCATTTGTTGGCCTTGTTAACACACTGTGCACACTTCATTAGTTTACTAAAGACAATAGTTTGCAGGATAAACATGCACAGAGCTCCAAGGACAGCAGCACATATAATAAATTATTTGGGTACATTTTATTTTTTTCATGTGGGTTAACATGTCTTTCTTTCCTCCTATTATTTTACTCTTTTGTGAAGACTGTATCACAAGGGAGTGGTGATTAGGTTGAGGAATCTGAAAGTCTTTTGCACCTTACAACCAATGGGTGGGAATCTAGCAATGTCTTCATATGCAGCCCTTTTGCCCCCATTTAAAGTTTTTGCAAATCAAGCAGTCAATTCTGACTGATATCCAGCATAAAAAGTCTCTTCTTCATTTTCAAACTTAAAAAAGTGATTCACAATCATGTGGCAGTATGATTAAAAATTACAGTTCATACACCTTGACAATCAAAAGAGTCTGAATTATAAAAAGTAAACTGCCCTTGTAACTGCATCATCCTACATATTTCAGGACAGCACTAGTTAACTTGTGAGAAAGGCAAGTTTAAGGTTTCTGTAAAACACATATTACAGCTTTCTTGTGCTAGTGAACACCTAGAATACACAGGTTCCCAAGACCTCCGCCACTTATGACATTCAATGAAATCATATAATTTTGGCAAAAATAAAAGGGTTTCTGTCTAGTTGTTTTTGCCTTCAGGTTGATGTTACAGGCACAGATTTCTGGACTCAAGCACAATAAGGCATAGTAGAAACCACCAATTAAAACAACGACGACAACGACAACAACAACAATAAAGGAATATATTGCAAGTGGGAACAGCTGTGTCATTTAAAAAGGAAATGTTTTTGTGAACTGTCACACTGCAATGCTGTGTTAGGTGATTCATGTAAAGCTTGCCTTGGCATGCTGAATATTTCTTTTTCAGAACATGCTCAAATGAACTAAACATTGCCACAGGTTCAACTTACCTAAAATATACCAGAAGTAGCCCAGTGGCACACACTCTTGAAAACTTTTGCAATCACAATATAACTATAAAGCATGAGTAAACTTTTGTTTTGTTTTTATACAAAACTTAAAACCACATTTCCACCCCCCCCCCCACTCCCCAATATCCCATAACAAAACAAAATAAAGAATAAAAAAGCAACCAACAAACCACTGTTAGATACCACTGACACCTTTTCTTTCTTTTTGTACAGTTCTATTTATACCACTAAATCCAAGGTGGCAGATCTATTCCTGGGTTAAAAGAAGGGATATTGTCAAGCACCCCAGAGTCAACAGCGGAAATACAAGCTCTGTTGTAAGATTGGGACCAATTTTATAATGCTGTTTGTAACAAGACTAACTGCTCTGATCATCTACTTAGATATCAGCACCACTTCTTATCCTACATCCACCTGCTTTAGCTTTATTAAATACAACGCTCCGACTCCTTCAAACTGTTAATGCTAGTGACTTTTTATGTTGTTTTCGTTAGATCTGGGTTTTCTGAAGTACTGTTTAATTTATCTGACATTCTGTATTTCTTCATATTGTTTTTAGGAAAACATACCCATTAGTACTTATGCACAATGGTTTGAAATGTCTCTGCTCTTCTAAAAAAGGCTACTAGAAAGGTAAAATTAACTTATGTGAATCTGCCAAATACAAATTAAGTTTATATTTAAGAGCTCATGTTCCAGTCGGAGATATAATGGCATAAGTTCTAACAAAACCGGTTTCTAAGTCTGTGTAAAGCCCTGATAAGATTTAAGCAGTTTCAAATGTGAAGGTCCTCTGGGTGTCTCAAATTTACTTCTACTCAGGAATGTGCAAATGATTTTATAGAGCACGCTGCTAGTACCGCTCTGTACTATAGTAAGTTTTTTTGTTTTGTAAATAAAAAACAACAACAAATCCCTAGTCAGAAATAAACTGACAAAATTTACATTCTTCTCTCTTAAAAAAGTAAATAAAATAACATTATTTAAAATGTGAATTAGCTATAAGACATACAATACAATTACATAGATACATATCAATACAGCACATTCAATTTGCCAAAAATTAATGATTACAAAGCCAATATGGATGCTGCCATATATATATATATAGATGTATGTACAATGATTATAGCATTCATAATTGCACTATACCTACAACCAGTTTTAAATTACAAGGTGTTTTATAAGGGAGCAAAAAATAGCAACTGTTCGTGTTACTGTTGTTTTGGAGCTGGGAGGGCCAAGGATGGAAAACGCCTCATTAGTATTTACTGGTAACTTTGGTAATCCGCTTGTAAACCACTATTTTTTTTCCACCTCCCTTCCACTGCTGTGGAACAGCAATCCCTAGAGTGTTAAGTGCACTCTGGTGCTACTTGGCATTGCAGATAACCAATCCAATTAAATGTCTGACCTCTAAGTTCTCTTGTAGCTTGCTAGCAGTCATGTATCTGGTCAAAAAACACCTTCTTTCAACCTAAGCTGCAGAATGAAGGCTCATCAATCTGTGCTGTGTTTTTGTTGTTAAAAAATTGCACATTTAAAGTGATTTTTTCTCACTGTTTCACTTACATTAATATATTTTTTTCTAAAGAACACTGAGAGAGGCTGATTTGCACAAATGTCTATGAATCAGTTAACACGCAACCTTATTGGGAAAGGTTCCTGAATGTGGTCATTTATCAATAATTTCACCTTGTGCAACTAAGGGTGCCTGGCTATTATTACACAAAACACTCTATGCAATCTCATGCCATCTCTGACATAAGGAGAGACTTAAACTGTCTTTAAATTAGAAGACCATATGCATGTGCATGGTGCACCTAGTCACATATTCACTTACACTATTGTTTTTGGCATTAGAAAATGGAACGCTTTCTAAAAAAAGGGAACATATGAGCTGAAACTGTGTTTGTTTGTCATTTGGCAGTTGATTCAATCAGGTCAGTTCCCAATCTATCAATTTGGCATTTTAATCAGTATCTTATATTTCAAGAGTATTGGTTTTATAAAAGCCAGATTTGGCAACATTAGTTCTATACAATAAAAACATTTTTTCTACTGTGGAAAAAAAAAAAGACTTAGAAAAGCTCTAACCTAAGGTAAAACCTACACAACTGAGGAAAAAAAAACACTGTTTCAGGCTGTAACCACTGGGAAAAAATGTAGTGTCTATGGCGTTTCTGTTTGGCATTAGTGAGTAAAAGAAAAGAGAAAAAAAATGGCACATGGCAATTGAAAAGAGATTTTATCACATTCCACATACATCCCTAGGTTTGTGTCTTAGTATTTCATTACTGTCTTCTGTGCATCCTTCCATGCTGTAAGGGTATGGTTTAACTTAAAGTCCATACACAACTGTAATTCTACTTTGCAATTGCAAATATTCTAACCCAAAATTGAAGACAGAATGAAAACACCTATGTCAAGAATTTAAAAAAATCACAGTATCAATACTTTTGATCCTTCAGAGAAAGCACACACTGTAAAATTAGAATGTCTGATGTCTTAAAATCTAATGATAGTATTTTCCTGACCAAATCACTCAACAGAAAATATTTTACCAAGGAATGCAACAGGGAACAAAAAGGCCATTGTACCTTTAAAAAGACAAGAGGGGAGGGAAAGGGAAGGAGGGATAGAGAGAGAAAGGGTCAGGGAACTCCATATAGTTTAAATAAAATCATAATATTAACTACAAACTCTGTGGACATTCACAGAGTCCAGGCCGGCAATAAATTAGTATTATGCAAATTGTTTTCACAGATAATACAGTCCCTCAGGTCTATCCTCAGTCCCGCGGAGGCGGTCTCGGAGGGCCTCCTGGGCACGGCTAGACCAGGTTGTACTCCTTCAGGTTTAACTGTAGGATCGTGTCCTTGACAGCAGCGAAGACGAAGCGGATATTCTCTGTGTCTGTAGCGCATGTGAAGTGGGAGTAGATAATTTTGTCACTGTCTGGATTCAGGTCTACAAACATCTTCAAAATGAACTCTCGTGCCGCTTGTGCATCTCTTTGTGGTCCTGTTAATGAGGAAGAGAAAGTCAGTTTGCTTTCATGTCGATTCAATACTTGAGCTTCTTCAACAGGGAAAAATTTTGAGCAGAAAACATAAGGTAGGTTTACGCTACTATCCTCAGCCAAGAGAAGAAAAGTAAAATCTTTTTTTCTTTAATAATATACAGTGCCATTCACTATTCTACTCACAATAGGAACTATTAAAATAATATCATTTATTGTATCAATATATCTTTTTAATTTTGAGGACTGACCAACTTTCAGTCTACACCAAGAACATAATCCTTTTCACACTACAACATTTACAAGTTTTATGAGGATTTTGATAGGTAGCATAATGAAGTACATTCTAAACTTGTCTGGCATGTCATCAGTAGAACTTAATTTACCTTAATGATAATAAAATACACAGGCTCGCTAGTTGAGCCTATTCAAATGCTAAAGTTAATGTTCTAACAAATCCATTCCTATCTAAATTACATATGACAACGATTGTGTTGAATCTAAATTAAGGATGTTATTTTCAGAGCCCATGTAACAAAACCACTCTACATGAGGCAGCTGGTAAAATGGCAACTTCTGATCTGGCAGAGTAAGGATTCTTTTACGCTCACAGCTGAAAGAGGAGTGAGGTAGCATGAACACTGGCCACAAGCCATCGTTTTCTTACGCTGCAATTCTGCACCACTAATCGAGAGCAGTTTTCACAGGCTGTTATCCCTCTGCTCTCCCATTTCTGGATCACAAGTTTCTATACAACACATATGTAGAGCTTATTTGCTGTGCCTCTTCCCATTCCTGCCTCCTCATTGGTCCACATCTTGTTACAAAGCAATACGGATGCCAGTGCTTGACCCCTGATCTTGCAGCAAGTGCATAGTAAAACGCATTTTTAATGCTTAAAGCTTACAGTTGTAAACATTCTCCCTAAGGCTGCAAAAAATAGCTAGCAGAGGAGGCACAAAAGAGAAACGACTTGCTTTCTGGCACCCAGCTGTTGCAAATGTCTGTGAAGGGAAAGACGATTCTGCAGTACAGCGGTGTGTGCATGCTGAAATACTTCTATATATGAACATACAAGCAAATACACATACATGCAGACTGTGTCTGCTGAGAAATAGAAAAGAGCATGGAGACAGATCATAGTGCCTCTGAGTACCTATTGCTCACAATTTTTACATATTCTAAACACAGATTCTCCTATGTTTACATAGGTTCTCCCTTTTGGCCTGGTCACCAGGTTCTATACAAACAACAGAAACACTAAATTTTACTAGTGTTTTTTCTTCCTACTTTCAATAAATTTGCAATATTGACACAGGACAGTGCTGGAGCATCTGCCCTATGAGGAGAGATTGAGAGAGCTGGGCCTGTTCAGCCTGAAGAAGAGAAGGCTGAGAGGGGACCTGATCCGTGTCTGTAAGTACCTCAAGGGAGGCAGTGAGGAGGATGGTGCTGGCCTCTTTTCACTGGTGGCCACCGACAGAACTAGAGGTAATAGCCAGAAACCAAAGCATCGAAAGTTCCACAGGAACTTAAGGAAAAATTTCTTAACAGTGAGGGTGACAGAGCACTGGAACAGGCTGCCCAGAGAGGCTGTGGAGTCTCCTTCTCTGGAGATCTTCAAAACCCGCTTGGATACAGTCCTGTGCCACGTGCTCTAGGTGACCCTGCGTGTGCAGGGGGTTGGACTAGATGATCTCTAGAGGTCCCTTCCAACCTTAAGCATTCTGTGATTCTATGACTTTCAAAGACCAGCAACCATTTCTTCAAAATAAGTCCTTTACTGTTTAAATCAACTTCCTAGAATTTTGTTAAACGTTTTATAGCCTGGACTTAGGTAGGCTCACTGTCTCTCAAAATTTACTGCACTACTGCCTGTATCCCAAACTTTTGTTTGACTGGAGCTGAAGTATGCGAAAATAAAGTTAAAAAGGCAGTTTGCCATCCTCAGGAATTAAAAAAAAAAAAAAAAGATTTACAATGCAAAGTTTTACAGCCTAATATGGTGACCTGTAAGTCTGATGTCCTTTGCTGGCTATTTAGCAGTCTTCAAAGGGACCATCTACAAGATACTGTAAAGTTCAACGCGGAAAGCGCTACAGCTTGGCTGGGATGGTTTGGTGAGTGTGTTCATCTTCACGGGGCACTCTGGAGAGGAGCGCGCTGCAGTGGATGGCTCTTGTTGTTCACCCAAGGGTGACCCACTTTGTCTTCACCTCTCTTCCTCCCCCAGTTCTTCATTCAAGTCCCATTTGGTGTTCGCATGAAGAAATGGCAAGAGAGAAGCGATGTGGCTGACAAGTACCCGATCCCGATCGCCAGGCCCGTGCCCAGCTGGAGGCTGCGCAGGCCCACGCAGGCCCACGCGGGGCCTTCGCCACACAGCACGTGAGGAGCCCTCCGGCTCGCTGCTTGGGCTCGGTCTGCGTCCTGCCGACAGCATTTCACACAGCTGTGTCCCCGCTGGAGGGAGGAGGGGAGGGAAGCGCCTGTAACGGCTTCCCACCCTCGGGATGCCATGTAGGACGCTTGTCACGTGAAATAAGCTTGGAAGGGCAAGAATATTTCCTATTTGCCTGCCAGTTGTCTTCAGAATGGCACTGTCAAACTAAACTCACACTGACAGGTAAGTAAGTATGGTCCGATCTTGTAGGCTGCTCACTGAACAGATGCCTTCTCAAACAGGAAAAAAAGCTGTAACTTTTTCTATCATTACTAAGCATTTTGAAAATCAGAAAATTAATCTTTCTACACCTTTCAGGTCACTTGTTCACTTCCTGGTGGGACAATTTTTTTTTTATTTTTATTTTTTTTTAATTTAAGAATATTTAATTATTCAGCCCTCTTATTATTTGAACATAAGATTTTTCTCTCTTTGCTACCAAAACCTCCACTCGGATACCTTAAAATATTTAACATTTCACCTCAGGAGACTTTCTGAAAGTGTAGTTTCCTTAGAAACGGCTATTTGATCCACACAGTGTTTCCTGAGACAAGCACAACACTTCACATAAATGATGAAATTAAAATGAAGGAAACACAAAAAAATAAATAAAATAAGTTTAATGAAAGGGCAGGAGAAATGATACTGGTTTCTCTGCATGCTACAGAGAACTTAGTATACTTCTCTTCAGCTATCCAGCCACAAAACACAACCTAAAAAATAATAGGTAAGACAATATTTAAAAATAAGAAATGAATTTTTAGCTTTGATATTCCATTTCAGAATCTCACTCCTGGTTCTAATCACTTCATCAAGTCCAACTTACACAGATAAAACATGATCCCCTGCTAGTATGATAATATTTATATCTAGAATCACTAATTTTATGCGAAAGTTACTGTCATTCCATTCACAATTAAGAGAGGTATAAAACAAAACTCCAGCAATCTAAAAAATCCCACAAGACTTCCATCACATTTCAAAAACTTGAATTATTAAAAGCTCTGTTGGCAATATACTCACCATCATACTCTGGGAAATAATCAACTAGATGGGAGTACATAATTTTCTCCTCTAAGAGATCTTTTTTATTTAAGAACAGAATGACTGAAGAGTTCTGGAACCATGGATATGTGATAATTGTCCTAAAGAGTGCTTTGCTTTCCTCCATTCGATTCTGGAAAAAGAAATAAAAAAAGAGAGAGAACTTTATGTGGTTAAAATTATTATAAAAATTATTATGGAAACAAATCAAAAATAAATTTTGAATTCAATCCATACAGTTCTACTCTGTTTCATAAATGGATCCATTTCATCTTTGGAACCTTCATACTGAAACATAAGGGATTTAACTGACTCAATTATAATTCATAAGTAGGCAATTAATTAAATATTCCGGTAGTTTTCCTTTTGAAAACTCAACTACTCAAGCCTAAGTGTTCTTTAAAACACAGGTCATGAATATGAAAGCTGTAACAGGTAGTGTTGTAAAATCCGACCACGCACAGCTAGGAGCAGCCAACAAACTCGAGCGTGCTGAAATGCATGGAGCTCAAGGCAGGGACAAATGCACAACAGACACAATACCTGAGTCAGTTTTTAAGAAACTTACATGTTTTATATGCTCTTCCCAAATTTTGCCAGCAAATAAATCTTAACTCAAAGGATATCAGCTTTGAAATGGTTACAGATTCTTCTGGCACCCACCCGTTGCTAACTATTTCCCCAGTGTAAGCGTTATGACAAAAAAAAAAAACCCAAACAAACAGAAAAAATAGATTTTTTTTTTTAAATCCTGCTGGACTAGCCTTTGCCTCCACTGATGAACTGCTCCTGAAAAGCACGTTCAGGTGTGAAATGGCCGTGAAGCCGGTCTACGGCTGTGTTGTGTTTGCAGGGCTTTCTGACATTGCAAAAAAATCACACTGTGTTTCGGTGCAGTTCTGGAGAACTGTGAGGCTGACGTGTTGCAGTTAGTACACATTCTTATGATACTGAGTTCAGCACCAGGAATTAAGTCTATTTATTTCTTTATTAGGAAAGGCATCAGGCAGGCCTGATAACTACCTGCAGAAGGTTTTAGAAGCTGTCCCTGGAAAACAACATTTCATCACCCAGCAGCACTCCAGAAAAACAGTAGAAGGTGAATCCTGCAGATTCTGCTGTCACTAACCCATGCAACGCTTTAACAGAAAATTCAGACAATTTTGCAGTAAATGTATCTTGAGTTGCTTTAATTTGCATTTTAAAGTCACCTGCATAAGCGCGGAGAACAGAAACCCTAAAAAAAAAGGCCTAAAATTAAATTTTGAAGAGGTCGATGGTTTATTTAGCCATCTTGTATCACCACAAAATTTTCAAGCAGTTTATCAAACTTTACAGCCCACTGGAGTGATAGTTGAGAATAAATAGTTGAATTTATGAATGCAGAAACTAAGGTAGAGGTCATAAGTCAAATTCTTGCTTTCTATCAATAAGTTCTTAAGATTTCCTTTGATTTCAATGGTGCAAGGATTTCATTCAGAAAGTACGAAAATCAAACTATCAGCAGAGCTGAGCATAAAACCTCAGGCCTTTGATCAATCATTAAAGCACAAACAGATGTTCCTCTCAATGTTTTATACACGTGGCTTCTCTATACAAGGCCCTATACAAAGCATATACAGTCGGAACAATTGAAAATTACTGTTAGTTTCTCTTTGATAGCTTGACAATAAAAGATAGGCAATGTAATGTTAACTTACAAGCCACTGTTTCAAGTCGTGAACTCATTCAGTACCTTCTAATCTGATATTCACAGAAAATGAAACAAATTCACCACTGCATTAATAGTGTGTTTTTCTTTCATAGCAAATTTATGAGCTACTGAAAACTTCTCCATAAGAAAAGTGCATGGAAAACAAAGATGGGAAATACTTTTATAAGGATTGCCTTCTTTCTGCAAAAACGCTTCAAAAGCACTGCAAAATACTCATCTACAATTCTGATACTTCTTTCATATTCATAACACAGAAACTCACAGACAAACAAGAAAATTATCAATTTGGATAAATTTGAGACCCTTGTTACAGGAAAGCTCCAGGAAAATGGTTTTGCAAATTTTCTGTTTGAAATTGATGCCAAACTAGATGAAGGCTAAGTCCATGTTGATATTGTGCTTAAAAATTTTCAGCATCTTATCCACTGCAACCTCTGTAACTACTGCAAATCATAAAAATTCCAGGAGACATATACAGTAGAAAACAAAATATTGTGCTTTTTCAATGTAAAAAGAACATCTTACACACCTACATCGATTATGAGTTCCATATAATATCAATTCTACTCTGTACCACAAAATCATTTTTTTCCTATTATAGGTTTATAAATGTCTCTAGAGGCCTTTTGGACTTGACCTCAGGCATCTGCTCTAAATCTCTCCTGGACAGGTATCTACCAAAGACAACAGAAACAGAGAGAGATGAAGCAGGTTTCCATGATTTCAAAGAAAGTTCAACTAAGTCAAGAATAGTCCAAGATTCAAAAAACGATGACTTGATACTAAGATGATGGTCTAGAAGACACTCTTTTAAAAAAATAATGTAATGCTATAAGACATTATAGGAGATAACTATTGCCTTGAGAAATCATTAAAAGACATGGTTAACGTGCAGCCTAAAACAGAGGAACAAAAGGCTAGACTACTTTATAAGTCAATAAAACAATGTTGGATCATCCCAGCTTCCTTCTCTTCATTGTGTTCACTAATTTAGCCACAAGCTTCACTTCGCACAGTAATCTTTCTTCAGAAGTCATCCACTTAACCGTACTCCCAAGAAAGAGCCAGGCTAAATCTCAATCCATGTGAATCTGGTGGCCACTTGTAAATTTTGTACTTTGTTATCCAATCACAAACAAAATTAACATAAACCCAAAGACAACTGTGAGAAATGGTAAAATAAATAAATAAATAAATCACAGTGCATCAGAATCCTCTGAACCAGAATTACTCTTCGTGTTCAGACGATCTTGCCCGACAGTGGTACCAGCTGAGGCTGTTTGCAAGGCAGGCAGCAAAGCCTTGCAGACTAAGAAGGAAAGGTAACTACTTCAGTAGAGGGGCAATTTCATGATGCACATCACAGGATGCACTGCAGTGACAGCCTGCAGCATCTTGGGCAGCAGACTGAAGGAAGCAGTTGCGATTAAGGCATCAGGAAGACTGGAGAAATCCTTTCTAAGGAACCTGGGTGACAAGCTGTCCCAAACTTCTGAGAAAAAGGTCACTCTGCTTCAGATCCACAATTAAGAGGCCAATGGATTTCCTAAATCCTTCCCGAGCAAAAGGCCGCTCAATGCTGCTGTCCACACTTAAAACAGAGGGAAGAGATGAGATGTCACCGTTACCCTCTCTGAATATTGGCCACACTGAAAAGATTGGAGACAACTCAGCTGCACTCTCAAAAGATGTTTGGAGTAAGATAATGGAGCAAAAACATCAAGGGGACAGCCCAGGCACTTCCACGGATCCAGTGCAGATTTCATATGATTTGTATATTTAAGAAGGGTGTCTTGGAAATCCTTGCAGAGATACTAATTTTAAACACTTCAATTTTAAGAATTCACTGCATGTTTTGTCCAATTGTAGCACCTGGTCTAATAAAAATATTGCCTCCTCCTACACAACTTGCTTGTTTTTGTATTTGTGTATTGTACACAAATACCGTGAGGTATATATCAGAGTATCATAAATTACCAGGCTGTTTTTGCAGTGGATCTTATGGCAGCACCACAGTTTTGACCAAAGAAATCAAAAATTAAATGTTATCTCTGTTCCCTTTTTTATTTTTCACTTCTTTTACAACTTTATAAAACATAGATCTAACAATACTTTCATAGCTGAAAACTCTTGCAAGACTTGTGGTGAGGCAAGAGGAGGGGAAAACCTAGTGAATATGCACCCTAAGCTCACAGACTTTTTTCTTTTAATCCATTTAAATTAAATTTGATGCCTGCTTTTTTGCTGCCACAAATTACACTTATAGTATGAACAGTACCATCTCTAACTTTTAAAGTGTAAGAAAATAAAGTTCCTTAAATGCTTTAAAGAGACAAATACTGTTTGTATATTCATTATACTTTTTTCTTCTCCTAGTGCTTAGTTTTGACAATAATAAAATCTAGAGAACCTAAATCTTCCATTTCTTTCCTGAAATGTCCTCAAAACTGAGCCCCGCAAGACATGAATGAAATGTTTATCAGTTGCTTGAATTAAGGCAGCTTTCACTGTTTCCTTCTTCTTTCTTTGTTCATTAAACTCTCAACAGTTTTTAAGAACAGTCCCCAGAAGCCACCACTGAAAACCTGAAACTAATAAATATCATTAGGAAACACTGGTGGCCTTTGGCTTCTACAGGATGGGCTACAAACTGGAATAAAACTGCTTTTTGTAGTTTGTATTTGACAGCAAAAAGTGTAGGTACAACAAAACCAGCATGAAGATGAAATATTATAGCTTAATTAGAAAGTGATGTACTGTCTAAGAAAAAATTGCCAGTTAAATTTTAACTTTATGTACTCTTTCCATTAAACTTGTCATGAAACTCAGCACATTCATAATGAAGAGCAAGTGCAGTAAATTTATTTGGAAGTAGCTGATAAACATCCAAATTAAGCCCCAAAGATAAATATTAGCAGAAGAATTAATTTCTTACAACTGTTATTAATATATAAAGAATTTAGACTCAGCAAAATACTTAAGCACAATTATAAGTATGCATGTACTTCAACAAGATGACTCCTTTGCTCACCATCAGCCACAAGTCAAGAAAAAGTCCTTCTAATAAAGCTGCCTCATTAGAAATGGAGTAAGAAAACATCACCATATTCTCTCCCTACATAGCTCTTCCCTGAAGGGAACGTTCCATGCTCTCTATACTAAGACACTGCAACACTTCATAGGAGAATTTTTGCTCTATTTCACCAGAAAGTCATTATAACATCAGAAACAGTAATCTATGGTTTATTTCCAGTAGCAGACTTTCTAAGCATACACATATTTAGCTCAGTTAAATGAGTAGCTTTCGAATAGAGATCTATCAGTGACAAAAATACGGCAGTTTGACCAGGGCAGTTACTATTACAAAGCAGGGTGCAGACACAGAGCATGACCCTGTGTGTCGAGCAGCAGGGATGCTC